GCCTGACGCTCTAGCCACTGAGCTAAACGGCTGATTACCACACCGACGAAAATCTTAACGCATTCTTCCACATTGTTTTCTTAGCATTTGAGGCAATGCTTGGCGCCATCTATTGTTATATCCTTTCCAGCATACAAACAACTTCGAATATCGTTTTACAACGATAATTCGAACGAGAGATGTCGCCATTGCTTTTTTTTTTTTAGAAAGTTAAATTGTTTATAGACAATTTATATTCTATATATCTATAAATAATTAAATTTATATCTATAAACAATTTAAATTTCAAAAAAAAAAAAAGCAATGGCGACATCTCTCGTTCGAATTATCGTTGTAAAACGATATTCGAAGTTGTTTGTATGCTGGAAAGGATATAACAATAGATGGCGCCAAGCATTGCCTCAAATGCTAAGAAAACAATGTGGAAGAATGCGTTAAGATTTTTGTCGGTGTGGTAATCAGCCGTTTAGCTCAGTGGCTAGAGCGTCAGGCCGCGAATGCCGAAGAAGTGGGTTCGATTCCCACAGCGGCGGCAATCTTTTCGCACTTTTTCTACATATTTTAATGTTCAATCTTAAGTGCAAAGATTAGCACTATAAACAATTTAAATTTCTAAAAAAAAAAAAGCTTCTAAGCTGCTGGAATGTCTGATTTTCCACTGTTCAGTTTCAATATCTTGATGTGGTAATTAGCCGTGTAGCCATCGTCGTGATAAGTGACGGTTTTTAGGGTTCCGTACCCAAAGGGTAAATCGGGAACCCTATTACTAAGACTTGGGTGCCTCTCTGTCTGTCTGTCTGTCCGTCTGTCACCAGTATATCTCATGAACCGAGATAGTTGAAATGTTCACAGATGACGTATTTCTGTGGCCGCTATAACAACAAATACTAAAAAACAGAATAAAAAAGTTTTAAGTGACAGACATGAATTGTTGGCCGTTTTCATAGAAAATAATACGGAACGATGGCGAGTCCGACTCGCGATTGGTTTTTTAAATGTTTTAATTATTTTAACTTAACCCTTTTTAGATATAATTTGTACCTGGTATGGCAATTTCTAGTTGCAGTTGCTGATTGAAACCTGCATAGTCAGCAAAAGTACCTTGTCATTCGATTTATTATTTGTTGAAATTCACTTTTGTCATAATCAGTTATTACTCAATAAGCTTGACTTAGTAACGTCACTGTTCGGATCAAATTTACAAATCTTGTATGTACATAATATTATATCCTTTTTAAAAGACTTCATGCTGTCTCAATATTTCAGGTATCAGGATTCAATTCCATTGAATATAATTCTTGTATGCACGTCAACGTCATATGCATGTTAGTATACCATAGATCAATAACTAGAAGTCAAACACTAACTAACTCGTGTATTAAAACACAGGCGTTCTGTCTTAATCTTTTATTCATGGTGCTATGTAACATTCAAAGCTAACTATGAACGTCGCCATGACGTTTACAGATGTACTCAATTTTACACATGTTCATCGATCCATTAAAAACCACTCGGTTAATAACTTAAGGGGGAATCCAAATTCAGTGGGCAGCAGTAAATCTTCGAATAGGAGACTTAACAGTGACACTTTAACGTGTACCGCCTTGCATTACGTTCATACATTAATAGCGGCATAGATGCCACTTGCGAGCGTATTTAAAGCTCTCAAGGAACAATTAAAACTGTCAGATGGAGAATTTAGACCGTTTGCTTTACACACGGCTGCTCCGCGCAATTAGGACGAAGTGGGAACGTCTCACTCGCTTCTGTTTCGGGTATATTTAGACGTTTATGGGATTCAGCGTCGCGTGTTTATTCTGATTCTACTACAATTCTCTCCTTGTGAGGGATTTCATTTTTATCGCTTGGAGCACCGCTTCTATGTTTAAGTGGTGTCTTTGCCAATTTTTCACACCGTCTCACCGTATAATATTTTTTCCCTAATGCAATTCCTTATATAATACGACATTGTACAAATTTATTTTTGTCATGTTACCTATTTTTTAAGGACGCAACAGTGCTCCACCATTTAACCTGAGTTGATCGCTTATTTATTTCAATAACTCAGGTTAAAAAAGATTTCGTTGCATAAATAAATATTTCAGGACATTTTTTAGTATTGTTATCAAGTAAGTCCCAAACTAAGCAAAGCTTGAACTAAGGATACTATAATATTTTCTTTTGTAAATAAATACATATTATAGAAACATAGACACCCAGACACTGGTATTTTTTTAGTACCACCAATATTTTTACAGTAATTTTTTTTGAGTTATATAACATTGCCTTTAGGATAACATTATCCTGTGTTGCAAGGACATTTTACATACATAAATTTGACGTGGACAAACACCCATACGCGAAACAACTCTCTGTGGGTCACACAAATAGTTGTCCCGTGTGGCAATCGAACCCACGAACCCCGACGCCGAAGCCTGTTGTTTAATAAACTGAAATCATTCATATAATTAATTGCAGTTTAGAAATCAAAAGATAAGTAGAAACCTTTCACTTAACAGTAGGACATACACAGGATTTTGCTTTTTAAATTTAAATCTGACAAACGGCCTCTCCGACATTTATTTAATATGCACAGAAGATTTACCTCCGGGGAACATTGAATTTAATAGAGGCCCCATAATCGATTTTGTGTAGGAGCATATTAAAGCAATACGTCTTTTGTTGCACACTCACCGGTTTGAACGTTGAATTTACTATGATCGAAGTCTAGTCAAGAGATTATTAAATACCGTCATATTTGTAAATCGGTTAATTGATTTTTAAAAATCCAAATCGCTTCACAAATTGATTGCTTTAATCGACGTTATTATAAATAATCAATTTGTTGAAACAGTAGGAGGAAATGGAGAATTATATGATAGTTTTATTCATGATACTACGTTCGTGGTCTTTTGATGTATATTGAATTTCGCTTTAATAAGAAATGCCGTAATAGCTAATTGTTCGGACGCTAGCTTTTAATTCAATCTATTCGAGGAACCCCAGTTCGATCCCGCGTATCGCTGCAACGAAATTTTTAATTTAAGTACCCACTTATCACGTGCTCGGAGGTGACGGAAAACATCGTGAGGAAACGTGCATATATTTTCGAAATAATAAGAAAAATATGTATTTTGAAAATATGTTTAGTACGCCAATCCACAATGGGGTCGCGTGGTGGTCTATGCCCTAATACCCTCAACCTAAAACCTTCGCCCATGACATTTATAGGTTTCATCTTTTATGAAATTGATGTCAATGCTTGCCATCCAAATACGCAACCCACGATAGATCTTTTAACATGCCAACTACAAAGCTTAATTATCCGGTCAAACAATATTTTAATTTATTTTATTTTTGTTTTATGGAAAACCAACAGCTTATACAACATAAGAAAATGGAACAGCCAATTATAGGTTTTCATTGATAGAAGCTAAATAAATTGATGTTTTGTCATGCATGATGACTCCGTGGCGCAGTTGCCAAGATATTGGCATCGCCGTCGGGGGTCGTGGGTTCGATTCCCACACGGGACAACTATTTGTGTGACCCACAGATAGTTGTTTCGCATCTGGGTGTTTGTCCGCGTGAAATTTATGTTTGTAAAACGTCCTTTACAACACAGGATAATATTATCCTAAAGTAAGGGCAGTGTTTAAAAAAATAAAAGAAAAAAGAAAAAAAACTTTTGACGCCATGATTCCGAACATGAAACATGCATATTTATAAAAAGTATAACAAAAAATATAAGAAGCAATAGTGCTTGTAATGTTTTTGAATAGTCAAAAAAACCTAAAAACAGTTTTTTTACCACGCAGTCTTCTGTAATTCGATTTATATAGGCACTTGTACGTAAGTTCCCTTATAGTTTTATAATACTTTTTGTGTGCACTTTTATTCTTTTTACCACATTTCTGCAATCTTTATAGAATTATTTTACATTATATCTTTCCATTCTTCTTTCCTTGTCGTATCATTTCAATATCACTCTGCTATAATATAGGGTTCAAATGAAAGATTTAGCAAAAGCTTTCTGATTATTTAAGCATCTTAGAATACGTGTTAAAAATTATACCGACAGAAAGAGTTAAAGGAACATTCCTGTTGAACATCGAATGCATAGAAACGACCGGTGGATCTGGGTTAGTCTAAATTTATAAACGGAAGCTCACTCAAATTATGACTTTTGATGAAATGTTGCACAGCGTCCAGTTCATAGCGGATATAGGGATTTTTTTTAAACATTTTCGTTACATAATGACAGTTGATCGACCTTTTAATTACTCGGATGTTGTTGTATATTTGTATCAATTTATAAATGGGTTGGTTAATGGCGTGGTTGACGTCGTATAGATAGAAGAAAGTATCACAATATCTAGAGAAACTAAGACGTGTCAAATAGCAAACAGATAAACTTTTAGACAGATTTTCAATAAGACTGTGATTGTTTCATAAACGATACTGCAATTATTAAAGCAATCGTAACGAAAAAAATAAAGCAATTATATAGTTCTAAACTTATTATCTTTAAATCGTTTGAATTCGCTTTTAATGATATTTACGTCACAGTAGTATTGTCTTCTTTTAATGACTGGATATCCTTAAACGCGTTCCTGCCTGTCGACAATGAATATAGATTGATTTATTTATTAATTCGGTCCTTGTTAATATTGGATTCAGTTAACAAACTAGTAATCTTAAGCCCGGTTGTTACTGTTTCCAAAACAATTTTTTAAAGTCCTTGGATAACAATGTTAAAAGAACGTTTTACACAAATACATTCCACGTGAACAAACACCAGATCTGAGCAAATCGTCAGTGGGTCACACAGATAGTTTGCACCTTCTGGGATTTGAACCAACAACCCCGGTGCTGAAGCCACAGGCAACTGTGCCACGGAGTTCTCACAATTACAATACTAGTGTGTACGTTTACCACTCAAAAATCCTACACTAGCTTTAGCTTTTAAAACGAAAAATAGTATTTGCTATCGTACTTACAAGCAAGCTTCACGATCGCCGGCTGACTCCTTATATCGCCCCGGCTGCTCCAAGCGAAGCACGTGCACGAGAACTCCTCACTGAAATACTCGTCAACTTGATCCCTTGTGACGTTGCATTCCGCCTCAACAATTCTGACACCACTCTGGGGGTCCACGAACTCGAACTGAGTGCTAGCAACCGACCGAATATCGTTGCACTTGAAGTACACCTGCAGGGCGTTCGCGGCGCGACACCTTAACATGGCCGGCTTGTTCCGCACGACGAACGCGTGCTGCGGCTCAAGAAGGAATATCGGTAAATCGTCTGTCGAACTTTGCAAGAGATGGTCACCAGAGAGAGACGGCAGTTCGTCCGTATCATCCCTGCTCTCGTGATCGTCCTCTTTGTGGGATTCGTGGTCATAGTCTTCTTCCAAATAATCTCTGTGGTGAGGTGCTTGGTGGTTGTTTTCAGAGTTATACGGGTCCAATGCTTCAACGCCCGCTGGATGGGCGTACTCGGGTCTTAGTGGTACGGTTGGTGTTGGGGCGGCCGTGCTGTGCTCCGCTTCTGTTGAGCTTGATTGTTCTGCAACAAATAAATTCGCACCTTTAACGTACAAATATATACTTTTAAATCGTACTCGGGAAAGAAAGCTAAAGGTGAAATCAATAACTTGTTACACAAGTCTTATTAATGACTTGAAAGTAAACTATACAGTTCATAAAAAAAGACAATTTTTACTATTAACTTGTATACATCGAAAATATTTGTGAATTTATATTTAGTTAAAACATACAGAAAATCATCATCATCGTCACAGCCAACATCGTTACATCAAAATATCTCTAAAGTGTTCGTTAAACACGTACAGATAAAACCATATACGTAATGAAACTATATTTAGTCCGTTAATTGTGTGTTACCGAAATAAACGGCAACTGACATAATAATGTACTCGGGGGCTCGTCATCGATTTCTCGAACAGCCCGCACCTGGTCCAACGCCTCACTCGTGCCTATTTACACGCAAAACATAGACATTCGGATACCGTATACCCCACTTTAGATCCGCCGCCGGTATTCAGAACTCGAGCTAGCGCCAACGACATTGAGTTCAAATTCCCCCGGCACGATTTCAAAGCACCCCCGGTGGAATTTCGCTCAGAAACTGTTATCAGGGCATCAGTGTATGTTGCTCTTCCAACGGCGTTGACAGTAATACCTCTGCGATTGTATTATTATTCGGAGCGCGGTACAGTACGAAAATAAACCGCAAGTCGCGTGGAGCGTGGATAACTTAATTAGTTTCACTTCCGTTACGTGTATTTCTATTTCCGTTTACGTCGGGACCGGACGCTATTTCCTACAGGATTCTATTTTTCCTTAATAGGTTTTGTTCGGAGGCACTTTCACGGGTAGAGCGGTCCATGGATGTAACTACAACCATGAAGGGATTGGGTGGATGCGATATATTTATCCGAATTTTGTAGGATCTAGGAACGTGACTTTTGTTTAACTAAATTTATTATATGTAAAGGGCTCATTAATAAAATTAAATAATAGCCGAAGGGATGTATGTGTTTGTAGATATTGGACAGAATTACAAGTGATTGACATAAAAGTCATTCCAAACCCTTGATAAGTAATTGCCCATGTGACAATTTTCACAGGCTAAATCCTGCGCAAAATTGGGGTGAGAGAAATTTTATATATTAACTGCGATGATTTCAATTAACGCTCATTTATTATTGTCAACTTAAGAGAGTGCGTGTTAGTGGAGGTGCGGTCTAGGGTCAATACTTTGAAACAAAGCCCTCCTCGCTCACTCGTTACAGCGACGTAGGTGAAAGCAATTATAAATTCTGTTAGTCACCGGTGGCACGGCCGGGCGTTTGATTAAGGCATGTTTATCCCGCGTCGAATGTCTGTTATCGTTAGAATTGTGTAATCGATTTATCGTGGCGTCAGTTTTAATTGGTTTTTAGCACTCGGTTTTGATTAATAACTGGTTATTTCACAAGCGTTATCGAGTGAGCTGAGCTCGTAATTCCGATTACCTCTTAATTGACACGAACACTTGAATGTTTCATTTGATCCCCATCGAAGTACTACTGCATGCTTGACTACCTTACTGCCTTATACTGCATGTCGATGTTAACAATAGCTAAGCGAAAGCGAAACAAAAAATTAACTTTTGTCAAAAAGTGTAAAACAGATGCAGTAACAACAGTGTAAAATGCTGGCCAAGCGAGAAGATGCGTAGTAATCGAATCAAGGCTTGTTCGGTCCATCGGCGCCCGTGTTAAACTTTTCATACGGATTGAAGTGTTCCACGATTCTTTTTAACTGACAGCTTTGAGAGCTATCTGCCAAGTGACGACATACCATTTACTGCACTACAAAACACCTTGTTAGGTGAAAGGTTTGTAATTCCAAAAGCAACTCCAATCGAATTTATCTAAGATCTATAGTCGCATGCATAAATTGTTGTTATATGAATGCATTATGCGATTTTATAAGAAGCGCGACTAAAACTAGCGAACGGACGTCACGAATAGATTGTAAAATGTAAATACATGTCAGTGCCCCGTCTGCGTCTACGGACTTCTTCGAATGGGACGATCTTCGACGTTTTGAATTATTAACAACCATTACCAATTTTAATGAGCGTCGGCGGTGCATTATTCTTCGGGGGAATTCTATCGGAACGTCTTCGGGATTCCAACGACTGGCTACCGCCGCACTTTGATGGACGGCGTGTTTTCACAGTTTTAGAATACCACGTTCAGGGAACTAAAGCGATGCGTGCAGATCGGATAACGAATGCGAATGGGTGAATGCCTATCGACGAAGTGAGATAACCGCTGATGATTTTCGGGATTCTTGTGGCGAACGCTAAACAGATCTAAAGGCGCGCCGAAACCCGTCGATTTGGCGTCGAGCCGGCGCGCGTTAAAGGGACCGCCGCCGTTTCGTCCGCCGTCCGGATAATTAAGGCTCCGGTCGATACTATTCCCGATAGAGGACTGTATTGATGAGGGCCACTTAATCAACGCTCCGCACAATGCGCCTTCTAAATGTACGGCTCGCGTGAAATAAATGATGTTTCAATTTGCATTGTCGACGAATGGCCTTTGTTGAGGCGTGAAAGATGTTCATGTTGAATTATTTACACGTCTCGAAATTGTTTGCTTTGCAATAAATATCAAACAATGTGAACAATAAATTAGGCACACCGCGATTTCAACGCATCAAACGTCGTTCAAAGTTGCATGCGTATCATTAAGGTAATGCAGCTCTCGGTTATTTCCAGCATTACTGGAATCGATAACAGACCGGTATCAACATGTCGCAATTACACTCAAACTTATAAATATTAATACCCCCAATTACTAGATACGGCCCGCGTAAAAGTCACAATTAAAAGTTTATTTAAGGGCCGGCCCACACTAGCTTATCGTCAAACATTACACATGCAACTAATAACGCATAGTAAGTGCCACTCGAGCCAAATACGGAACGAATAAAATGCAGAGAGCGTAATGGTATAGATATCGGACGTTAAACTCTGTCCGGCCGTCTGATTTTTGAGTGCTTCGAAGCTTCATAGCCGCTCGAGGGCCGTTGCGATAAATCAAGACTGTACTTGCGCCCTGTTATATTTGAGCTGAGAAGCAATAAAAAACGAAGGCGTGGCGCATTCGCGTCCGCTGAGCCGGAGCTACCTCACTCGGGTTTACTCGTAAACGCACTTAACGCGGCGAGGGAGACATAAAGAGATGCACTCGAACTAGTTAACGGTTACGTGGGCGGGATTCGCCCGCGACGCTTCCTAAAGTAAATCAAACGTCGCTTCGGACGCACCACGCGTTTTGATTTACCGTCCTGGATGCGGCGTGACTCATCGCGCAAGATCCGCCGGCTAAGCCCGAAGAGTACGACGATTTGTTGTCGATAAACGTCACCCGTTATTCCTACTAGGTAGCAATAAAAACGTTACATATTTCACCGAGAGAAGTAAAACCGTACGAAGCAGTACTAAAATCGGACGTTATCGACTCACCTTTAAGTCATCTTAGCCCTGTATGTTTCTCTCTTTCTGTATTTGTTGCGTTTGTCTCAAGTATGTTATTATCAATGATCATATAATCCTTACTAACTGTGCCGAAAATTCTTTAAGCACTTTCCTTATCCCGTGGCTTTAGAAAAAATGGGGCCAATTCTCGATTTGCCGCCAACTGGTCTTTGAGCATTTGTACCGACAAATTCTCACCCCTGTGCGAGAAAAAAGAACCGAGCACAAAAGCGGACCACACCCACAAAACTTCAATAGCCACCTTTACGTTGGAAATGTAACGCGATACATACAAAGAGTCGTCGAGTGCCAGTCAAGAGGTTCCCAAACAAGATAATCCCTTTGTTAGTCGGGTTATAATGGCGTCTCCGGGGAGTCTCCTGCCATTATTTTCCGCTTCATTCAAAGCAGCTGCTAGGTGTGCTGGTGTTTCGTATTTCGCTTAGCGGATATTCAATTTCTATTGACGATTTTGTTTATCTCCTAGTCGCTCATCATTAGTGGACATATGTTTTATGGACTTATGTTTTAAAACAAAAAAATGCGAATCTTCCATCTAAATACTTTTATCTTAATGCATGTGAAAATAAATAAAAGCTGTGAGTTGAAAAACAAGCTGACAAAACACTGATAAGACAATTGTCTAAGCATTTAACTTCAGTTATTTACCTGTTATATACGATGAGATTATCTTCTTTTGTAAGGATGTTTGGCATATCAAAATGTTACATAAATAAACATATATCATTTCCTAGAAAATATTTGTAGGTCAAAATAATATTATCTTATAATAATCAGAAATATTATAAAGTATTTACAAGCCCATGAGCTTTTCCGTTTACATTAGCGTAAACATTTTTAATGTTACATTCGTCAGCGCGTTCCTATTTTGAAAATATATTGAAGCAGCGAACTTATGAAGCTGTGGGCAAGTGAATCTATTTTTAACGTATCACTATTTCTTAAGATGAAACATTTAATGGGATTGTCTTGTTCGGAAGTAGCGCTTGGCTCGTCACGATGAAGAGCTTTTTTGCGAGTTCTCCGCCTCGGCTCCACTTCTATATCGGGTTTTTTTACCAGTTCGGGGTCCCGCAGAGAAAAAAGTGATAATTAATGCCCTCCCCTTATCCTATTATCAATTTTTGAAAAGACTTTGAAATTTCGTTCTGTTATTTGGATGGTCCTTTTTATTTCACAGGTTTTTGATGGTTCTAAATCACGTATTTCGAAAGATTTTAATTCTTAGCATGATTTCCCTTCCAAGTGTGCATCATTGTAAAACAATTTGTTTTAAGTTTGTTTCTAATTAAAAACAACTTTTTGAATTTTGAAATTGAAATGATTATGATCTGAGAGAAAATGTTTGTTTCTTAGTTTATCCTTTTTAATCCGCATGTACAACATTTGTTAGAAGATTTGTTAAAATTGCTAAAAAACACCTTTTCATTTATTTATCATTATTATTTCTACATCTGATTATTTATAAGTTTTTGATGAGACATAATAAAATCGATGTGATTTTGTTTTGCCTTCTTATTTTTTGATTTTTGATTATAGATATTAATTGCTTTCTTATAAAACAAGAAAAATTACTTTCTTGTTTATTAAAAAAAATAGCTTTATAACAATTGTCATTTAACAAAAATTTCAGATGTAAATCTAAGCATGTACGTGGGCCTGAAGTGAGAATTTCTTACTGAACAATACTAATCTGTGAAAAAGATGTTCATGAGTTCATTTCAGAGAAGATAAAAACTAGTGTTGAAGCTGTACGCACCACAGACTCTTTTTTCCCGGTTTCGCCGATGACAGTTAAATTTTTTGTCGGCCTACCTCCAGTTATCTGATTTAAAAGGTGCAGTCTTTTAAGTGAATTTTTGGCGTTATCTCGCGAGTTTTACCACCCATTTAAAGTTTTTAAGCCGCTGAGTCGAGTGCCTTCGTTCGAGTTTCTTTCCATAATTATCTCCTTTAACGCACTAACCTTTTTTTACAGAGCGTGTATAAAATTTGATTGAACTATTAAGAGAAATTCTCTAATATGAAGAAGAAAAGGAAGAAACGTTTATCGTTATTCGAATTTTCGTTACCCTTATGAATGTTTTAACTGTCTCTATTCTACACTTGAAATAGTTGGCTCAATCAGCCGCAAAAAATCAGTAGTATAGTTATCGAGTATTAAAAGAATAGCAAAAATATCCAAGTGTATGTATGTATATTCTTTGCATATCTGCAATAGACTATAACGCTCTAATATCCACTAACAATTTTAAGTCTGATATGAAGTTACCATCAAGAAAGTTATTATGTTGACTACCCGCCTACGGCCTACTCTTAAATCTAGTATAAGTTATTTTGTTTATTTAATTTAATAATTTGTACATGTGTTTATCTTGAGGGACTTAATATTACTTTAATCTTAAGTTACTTACTGTTAAGAAGTATCCCAGGTAAATAATTGTTAATAAACCTTATCAAATAAATAAATAAATAAATCTGAAATAAATAAAGATATAGATAAAAAATTCTAAGTACCAAAACCAAAATCTAATCCAATTTGTTAGTAGGGACATTCGGGAGATTACTTGGTATTTTTATCTAACATTCAGAAGAGGTTTACTTAACAACCAGCATAGTTAAACATTTTGTTACTTAGCGCCTGTGCCTAAGGAGCTATAGAAAAAATGGCGTATACACGAAATCACAGTTTAAACTTCGAAGAGTGTTAAGACAGTGCACTGAACATACCTTGTTTACCGCCCGCGGCGGTGGTGACGGCCACCCATAGGACGAGGAACACTGTCCCCCCCCTCGCCATTTCTTCACACGCTACCACGCATCACCTAAAACAATAAAGCATGCCTGAGTGCGTGGAGCCGACCGATATTTGTTCAGTTATACGGCCATTTCATGGCCGGCGCGCCAGTCAAAAGAAAAAGTAATTGGATCGACTTTAATTCTTCCGCGGTTGTGAACAACTAACTTAAAATTAATTCAAACAATCGCATATCTAATATATTAATAATATAATATATGATTAAAAACGAAACGAAACAAAAAACAAACATTATACGTGAAAAAAAGATTCTCGGCTCGGGTTTTGTTTTTTGTTCACTAACAGTTTCTTTTCCAGTTCTCTTTTTTGTTTGTTTTTCCTGTCCTGTACCTGCACCCTCAACTTTGTATCGTAACGTCGATTATGTTAAGTAGATTAATAGGTTGAAAAGTTCCTAACTTATAGAATCATTAACGGAAAGAGAATCGATCTTGTAACAGCAAAACGCCATTGAAATTACCGTAAGTTGTTTGTAGAATTCACGCAGCGTTCAGATTAATGCTTTATTTAAAGATTTCGTAAGCCTTTGAATTGTCAAGCGAATCCGTATACACCAAGAACAGATGATTAACACCATATTATCGATAACTAAAACGCTATTAGCTTTTGTAAAAGCACTCTCTTAGTCGGCGCGGTGACTTTAATGTGAACATTCGTTTGGCACCGATGCGTTACTAATGGTTCCGTTTGAAGAGGTCTTCGAGTAAAAAGTAAATAAATGTATTGTGGGCTGGAACAAGAAATATGTTGAGACCGTTTCAAAAGCGCGTCGTGTGAATTAGTCGGGTATCGGAAAAAAGCTTTCACGGATGAGTTGCGAAAGGGTGTTCATAGATTGACAGGTGTTTTAAAAGGAAGACTTCTACACGAACACGTCTAGAACTTGCTCGGAAAAAATTTCAAGTTTTGCAAGTTCCAACATTACTTATGTTATAATTGAATTGTAGATATTACCTAAATAAGCCGTTGCGTAGCGGGATAGGCTGGTGCTAGAATAAACTATGAAATCAATTTTCTTGATCTCGGTTTTTCAATATTCTTGTCCTTAAATATGATATAACTCTTTAACTATGCTGACAATTCTTATCTTATACGCTATTTATTGTTAATATTCTTAATTTCCAAGGTTTGGTTAAGTGTATCATAAATGAGTCATGAATTAACATATTTGCCTTATTTCTGATTACATTATATTGACGACCCAATTTGCTTAGTTGATAGTGACCCTGTCTCTTGCGCCAGGGGATCGGGGATTCGATCCCCATTACTGGAAAAAAATTGTGACTTTGTGGAGCATCCGGGTGTATTATTTGTATTTATTTAGTAAAATTACGTTTAATTATGTTTACCAGTTAAATAGTATCCATAGTATGAGCTTTTCTTAGGACTAGATGACGTTGTGTAAGAAATGTCCCGAAATATTATATTAGTTAGTATATTTATTTATTTATTTACATAAAGAAATCCAATGGACGATTAACGAAACATTTAATCCAAAGTCTTATATCTTGTATAACTGTTATTTAAAGTCGTGAAAAACAGCAGATCCATGGAAATAGGCAGATGTCGAATTATGAAAATTGTTAAAAAATGTCTTACGAAACGAATAGCCTCGTAATGTCATCGTGTCAGCAAATATTATGAAGATAATCACGAAAGTAATTCTTATGTGTGTCACCCAATCGAAAAATATTAAATGACATAAATATTTAATGAGATGAAGTGAATAATATTAAGCATCTGAGGTCAGTGGCTTTTTTCCTAACCGGTTGTAGTATTTTGACTATTAATAAGTGAGAGTAATGCTTATGAGTTGAATAAAACAAACATAGTAAGATATATTTTTTATGTGAGAAGGTGGTAAACGAGCTGGCATTTCACCCTGATGTTAAGTGATAACCGCCGCCCATTGAAAACTGCAACATTCGTAAAACAAATATGCAAATACTTACATTTGTATGCATTAACACTGATATAACCGTTTTAACTATATAATTAACTAGCTGAACAGGCAAACGTAGTTATGCCATACAAATTATTTGTAGAGAATTTGTGAATTATATAGAAAAAGAATACATAGAAAAAGAATTTTCAGACCGCACGTATAAAATGTTTGACAGGTAGGAACAGTTTGTATGTGAAAATAAAATTGTTGCTCTTTCGATTTTCCATGCAATTTTTCCATGATTTCTTATCGTTTAAACCTTCCCTGGACTGCTACAAATATTTCAAAACCAAAATTAGCCAAATCGGTAGAGCCGTTCTCGAGTTTTAGCGAGACTAACGAACAGCAATCCATTTTTATATATAAGAAGATAAATAATAAGAAGATAGATGTCGCATATACATTGCTAAACTAGCACCACAAAGTTCCTATATCACATTATAAAGATCCCTTTAGTTTATAAAAGAAATCACTTCGTGCGTCGACGCAGCAACGCCATAACGACAAGCTGTAACACCTCGCATCAAATAACGCCGCCCACGCTGGACTAAAATCAGAGTGGACACACCGTCGACAAGGTCCGTCGTATCCCAGCCAATGAGACGTCATAGGAAACCAGAATACAACCCTGACCATTACTTAACCGACAACTCAAGGAGTCAGAAATCGAGACGTTGAAACTTCGATCGAGTTAGAGATAACTTAAACAAACGGTTTGTCCGTCACCTCGCTGTTCTTAAGATGTAAAACATAGATAATGTTTTCAATCAATTATTGGTATACTTAAATAATTTTCAAAAGGTTGTCAACGCATCTGTAACTCTCGGGTGTAGCTGGGTCCATGGGCGGCAGTATTCACTTAACAACACCGCTAGCTCGCTTTCCAAATTTTCACATAAAAAATAATAATATTATAATGTGTTAATGATGCTTGATATGAATAAATAACTGCAGCTAATTCAAATAATATTTGTTTACTTACAATTTGACTAACGTGTATATGCCTAAGTGCGGGATTTGATTTTTTGTGATTATTTTTAAATATTTCTTTTTATTTGATATACCTGTTACGCATTCTTCTAACATAGTTACTCAAGCCTTTCAAATTCTATTATTTGAAAGCCGCTATATTCACAGAATGCCGTTACACTTATAGCAAAACTCATACAATTTTATAATAGCGTTCGACAACTGACGTGTCCATAGGATTGCAAGTGAATTTGCAAAGAACCGTGCTTCGAAACGGCGAGCGCTAATAAAACAACTCACCCTGAAATATACGAGCGCTATCGGGCAACTTGTGTGGCCGAGCCTCATTAACGGGTTACAGTTATACGTAATTTATATTTGACTCCTGCGCTTGTAGCTCCTTATCGACACGACGAGGTACGTTCCACTTCATTGTTGCCAACTTACGCGGCCCTGATTACTGGCACTTTGTTTTATTCGAGATACAGTCGACTTCCGTCGAACTCGATAGGGTTCGCTTATGCAGCTTTCGTGCGTTTAGCGTCGTCTTATTATGTATCAGCGTATTGTATAATGTATATGAAGTTCATATGTGATCCATACTTCCATACTATAACATTATAAATGCGAAATTAACTCTGTCTGTCTGTCTCGCCTTCACTCCAAAACTACTGAACTGATTTGTATGAAATTTGGTACACAGATAGTCTAGAGCCTGAGAAAGGACATAGGGTACTTTGTAAAAAAACTGTGTAAACTTGTGGAAAAAAACTGTTGTAAAGGGTTGAAAGATATTTATTTAAGGTCTTCAACGCGAACGAAGCCACTGGCGAAATGTATAATAGTATAAGCACGTAGTTTTTAATCCACTAACTGGATTGGAAGGCATATTATGTACACCTATGTACATATGGGATTCAAAAGATTCAGAAAAGAAAATTATTTCGGGTTTTTCAATTCTCGTTTTACATTTAATTAACCAAATATTATAATTATTGATATTCATACCACAATGGTTGGCTTCTGGTTGGAAATGCGATTGAAATTGACGTATTTTTTAAGTTCGGTAATAGAAATATGGTATATTATTATTATAATTTGTCGAACAATACATTGAGGAAAAGAACGTGTGGAAATAACTGTTGCTCTTCATTGCAATTACCCTAGCTGTTGCTGATTTTATACTTAATATATTTACATAATTAAAAAAGTGATAATAGGGTCGTAGAGTTTCTTAACAGTAAGGTCTAGTCTCGTTTTTCGACGTTCAATAAGAGCTTAAAATAAGTGAACTGAATAAAGAAATTGTGACGTAGACTTTGATATAATGGTTAAGAATTTTTAAAGTACTACGCGGAGCCGAGATTGAATTGTTGAACGGAATACAGAATGTGAACACGCAATGTGCCATAGCACATATGCACCATAGTGCAAAGTGTAATCTTTCATCAGTGATGAAACAGTGGCTAAAATTTGACCGCAAAAAAAACTTAAACACATTTGTTGTAAATATATCTCCACAGTAAATAAAATGTCTTCACTATTCGAAATCGAAACCTAGGACAAAACTTTTTTCCCATTATTATTACTGTTATTGCAAAATAGATAGACGTTAGATAGGAATGTTAACCGTATAATGAATGTCTTGTCGAACTGGAACTTGTTATGAGCAACTCATCTGTCAGTATTTACAGTATTTTAAATCTTCTTCAGTTAAAGGTTATAGGATGCTACTAACAAAATATGTTACGTTTTATATATATACTGTAATATTTTTCACCAATTTTTCCGGTAATCATGTCAGGTCAGCCGTTATTCCGTTTACAATTATTAAATTAAACTAGATATTAATGCTAAGGAATGCCATGGAAAAATCAAATTGCTTTTTCTGTTTGTTTTTACGTCTGCTTAATGTGAAAAAAGATTTTACAACAAAATTTAATTCAAGTCGTAGAGCAATTTTGATGGCGGTAAGACAAAACGAAGCGTTAAAAAAATACAAACGTGAGTGTAGATGGCAAGCATTTTATTTAATTAATCCCTAAAACATTCATATAACCAACGCTTTAACAAAATGTTCATTAAATAACAATAAATAAAGCATAATAGTTATCAGACTCCCATCGACACGCTTCAGTGAGAGAGCCCACCGATATTTGGTAAAAAGTGAAATAAATTAATTTCCTTGCTCTCAACAAAGCCTGCGTCGTCTGTCTATTCAAGTAATATTTGACCGTTAAACTATTATTTCGTTTTATTGTACCATAAACCGCCTTTCTTTGTCATGGGATGGTAAAATTTATGGTGTTATGTTGGAGTGTCGCTATAAATAATTTTCAAAGTTTCTCAATCATTGTTGTACATATTTATATTTGATTTGAGATTGAGACATTGAACATAAAAAAAATACGCGGACCCGGAGAAAAACGAAATGCTAACCGTCACTTTAATTCCTTAATAAACAGCTTACGCTCACAAAAATTATTATTAAACTTGATATCAAAAGATTTATGCAAAAAAGGACTATATAAATTTAACATAAAATATATGAATATCAAATTCAATCAAGAGCTAATAATACAGCTTCATCAATAACAATCTATATAAATTAATGACTGAAAAAACCTAAAAATATAATTAATGTATTTTATATTTATGTAAATGTAAATAAAATAATAAGAATAACTTTTAAGATATTCATGTATATGTTTACCATCATAAGCATCTTCAATGTGGTATTATCGAAAAGCAACGATACACTAAATATATTAATTCCGTAATTAAAAACCGTAAATTCGGTGCATAAAAACATGCAAGTTGTAATACGAGTAGGAGCTGTTGCTACCAAGGAGTGACTACTCCATTAGATATTTACCTTTTGAACTGACTTACATAAAACACCCTCACACAAAATTTTCAGGTTTTCAAACTCAACGTTTGCAAAGGAAGACAGAATGCAATTGAATACAAAAATTGCTTAAGAAATTATTGTGTACGCTGTTTACACCAAGAAAAGTATTGAAACAAAACTTGTTCCATAATTTTATGTGTTGTTTAGAACATGCAAGTCATTTGTTGCTTTAATTTAATTGTATACAACAGGCAAGAAACTTCCATCATGTCTACCATCTACGGTGGTAGGGCCACGCAGCAGCCTCGGCTGTTGCACGAATGGGCAGGCTCGTCCGGGTAAGTTCCACGACCTCACAGAAGACCGGCGTAAAGTGAAAATATAATACTTTCGCGTTTCGTCTGGTGAGTGAGGCCAATTTTCAAAGTGTTATCAACTCATCTGGAACCCTCGGGTATAGCAGATGTCCATGGGCGGCGGAATTCACGCAATATCAGGTGAACCGTCTGCTCGCTTGGCAACTTTCACATAAAAAAAATGTAAATAGACCTTTAGCTTTAGCTTAGCAACGAATCTGATTTAGTTAACTAACTAATTAGACCGTTGTAACTGATCAGTAAAACCCACATTTGTCATTCGGTGTGACTAATCCTATTAGCGGATTAGTTATTTTTTGCCGACTGTCATAGGATAAAATCCGTTGGCCAATTAAGATTTTTATACTATCATTTATGTACGGTTCCGCATCGTCATGCCACTTTTTTAACTATGCTTCGGTGCGATTCATGACTTGTTATAATCAGCGGACATGAATACCATATCTATATTCGTATCAAAATTGTAATAAGCATTGTAATGTAACTTAATACATATAATTGGGTAGCATCTATATCTATGACGTTAGACATTTAAAGCGTTTTAATTGTAATTGTAAAATGATTGCTTATTGAAGATGTACGATAAAAGATACTCGTAGAACGCTGAGAATTCTATACGGCATCAACCTACGAATGACTAGTTTAAATTTAGAACAATGAATGTTAATTTAAGTCGTTAAGGAATTATTTCAGGATGTGTAATGAAGTGATATTAATAAACCGTTGTAACTTCCAAATTTACTTGTTACATATCCCTATCTCAAATAAAATATTATTATTAACAACCGAAAACATGAGCACAAAATAATTGCTTATGCATGAGAATCCCAATTGAATTTTTATCAAACAATAAAAATTTATACCTGAACGCATTATTGGTTAGCTTTTAAGCTTCCAGTCCGAAAAGTTCAACAAATTCAATTAAAAGAAAACGTAAAGCAAACTGAAAATATCATAAATGGAAATCGAAAAAGGGATATAGATCTATGGACGGATACAAGTAACGGCAATGTTACGGTATCATTCATTAACAATTTCCCCTAGATCTTAATCGGGATGCATCTCCAACAATTACGCCCAAAACTCTAATAAGCTCTTCTCACTTTATCTCAGAGAAGATCTTCGACACGTGACAAAACACGGTAATGGGATATGGCATTAACCTATTTTTTAGGAGCATAATGCTCCGCTTTATCTGATGCAGCCAGGGCTCCCATCACAATTGCTGCCGCCTTTACGATTCCGTTCGTCGTAAAAAGTATACTACAACGGCCGAGACTGGAGATCCCGATAGCTCCGTGACCGAATTCTTTATCAGCATTGACAGGGTGGAAAGGGTAATAAATCTTCATGGTATCGGAAGAAATGCATCTGTAGTATACGCCAGTTTCTGGTTTGAAAGGTGAAGTGAGATAATAACCCTACGTCGTGATCAATTCGAACCGTATACGTAAGAGTTAATCTGCTTCTTGGTCAATCTTAAAATTACCGTAATTAATTACTTGTTTACAGAATTCTACTTCAGTGTTTTCTTTATAAAATTTAAGTTTAAAAACATATTTCAATCAACTTGTTATATTTTCGTTTAATAGAGAAGTATAAACAAAATTTTGAAAACATCAACTTACACCGTGAAAACTCAATACTGTCGAAAACAATTTTACACTACGGATTAATAACTTGAAACCACTCAATCCAGCTTGTTATAAAGTTAGGTGATTACAACAAACAGTTTTCGTCACTAGCACATGCGTAAACAGCAAAGTTTCACTCCATACATGTGGACGACACAACGAACTGTTTCTGAAATATCGCGGCAAAGCGCGACGGTTGCGCTGGGAGCGGCCAGCATACGTCCGTCGCCTACCGAGGTCACGATTCGACTGCCTGCCTTAGCGCCTCCAGTTCGAGGGGAACAGGGAACGGAGGGGCGAGGAGGGGGGAGAAAGGGAGTCTCTCCAACCGAGGAGATAACTTTTGATCTTTTTGGTGCCGTAGGAGATTTTAATGACGTAGTCACATCTGGAGATTGGACAGAAAAAGTGCACGTCACAGTTCTAAGTGTTAATGCATGTCAAGGGCTTAGTGGAAACGATGTGTTAGAAAAAGCTCGGTGCAGCTCGCGGGTGACATTTTAAAATAGATGCAACCGCTCCGGAGACGAGATGTCGCATTGATTTAACACAAACTAATAACTTCGAGACACTTTTTGTAACAGAAAATTTGGGATTCCAAACTTTGCCCTACAAATTTCGGTCTTGGTAAGAGGCACCAAAAATGTCTTCAAATTCAACATCACTTATTACTGTTTTCGTTATTATTTTCGAATAATTCGAATGCGCGGGTCCGACGATATTGCACAAGGTTTTTGTCTGGGGCCCCGCACATGTCAGGGGATGCACAAAGGGCTACGGAACAGAGCAGGTACAAAAGCCATCCCTCGGCCCCGCTTCGAGTTACAACGGGCTCCTTATATATTAATGACGGGAACATTGTGGAGTTAAGAACCCAAAAATTTACAACTGCATTGTACTTTGATCTCGACAAAGGGGCACAAAAGATAGGATCTGCTTCTGTTATTGCCTTATCGCGTCTGCGATTTCTCTCACTTCTCGAGTAATACGAGAACCATTATCGCATGGATTCGTTTTACGTGAAAATATCACATGCACAGATGTTTGGAAGGCGTACCGTTAGCAAGCTTACAAATAGTTGCATTGTGGAACTCGAACGTACGGACAAATTGTTAAAATTCATGGAGGCAGATAATACTATACAAAAGCTAAGTATAATTGAATCGTATTTCCGTTTTCGATCATGGGAATATTTGAAAGATATGGTTAAATGAAAATATTTTACGGATTTTGTTGCGTTTTCAATTTGACTTTTCCCTAAAATTTGATCTTAAATAGTTTGCGGAGTTTATTAAATTTTTATTTGATTTTAAATTTCCTGCACTTTTCAAATGTTCATAGTCACGGGACAGACTGAGTTGTCTCACGTTCAACATTAATTAGCTATTATCATTGGAATGAACGCTTCTATTGAAATTAGAACGTGAAATAACTTGGAAGGATTCGAAATGTCAGAAATTTAAAATCAACTCAAAAATGCGATAAAATCCCTAATATGGTTTCTAATTCCCATACACATACAAGAAATCAATTTTTCAAATATAGTTGAAAAGTTATTTTTGTACTCTACCAAAGTTTTTCTTTAGTTTCCTTTCATAAGAAAAATACTCTTTAGCTACTAGAGCAATAGCTGGGACAGTACTGTGATCGACGCACACTTCAACTTAACCTAATTTTTTATATCCTATAACGCAACGTCACGCAACAGTCGATATCTTTATCATTACGTCACGCAAATCCCTCTATCACAGCGACGCTTAGCTAATTAAGAGGCCCAGGTATGTTAGGCCGTAGGACTGATTGAGCTTTCTGAAACCTTTATTCATATGTTCTTTGACCTGTTTCAAAGGCCTACACTAACTTGAGTTATGACATTTTACGAAACTGGTCGGCGCAGCCAATGAAGTATTGTAGTAAATTTTATAGAGTTTGACAAAAATAGTCACATATTAACAACACAATCATATAGTCACATTTTATGTATCTCTTTCTTCCCTTGCGTCTTTTTTGAAAAAGGGAGCTAAAGAGGTTTACTTCTTGTTTATTAATCACCGCTGGCCATGGACACTCGGAACAGCACAGGAGCTACAAATGTGTTGTTGGCCTCTGAGAGATCGGCTTTCTTTTCGAAGGTCCCTAAGTCGATATCGATCTGGAAACACAACTGTCGAAAAGTAATTCCTCGGAACTTTAGGCAAACCATCCTGTTGTTTAATGCATATCACTGTACACAAGTAAATGCTCATACTAAACTGATGATCCCTGGCCTCTAAATGACGATTACTTCATTGAAATAATCAAAAAATCATTCAATGTACAAATCCTCACACTTGATGTTAATCGATACCAACGTTTGAACAACGTTCGCAAAGAAATATAAACAGTGGCTATGATATTTCATTTTTCGGTAGTGCTTCAAGAACAAAGACAACGCCACGCGTTTGCAAAACGTCATACAAGGCGCGACCAAAGAAGAAGACCGACGAAGAAAACAGCTCAATGCACCGCGCACCGACATAAATCATCACAAACAGTAGTGTGACGTTGAAATAAAAGCTTCTCGCGGCCAAGTCACGGCCCGTAATGAGTAATGGTTGAGCGTTCATTACTCAGAGACGCCCCGGAGTTTACCCGTCATCTGTCAACGCCGTCTCTCGTGGGCCCGTCCATAATAGGTGTATCCCTCGCGCGAGTTAGAAGTTTTACTTATCTGCCCGCTTCGGAGTGAAGTGTGAAAACTTTATATTTATCTTGTGCACTTCATAGGAGACGAGAGTTTATGTAAGCGCTGATACCGATCGCCGCACGTCTTGTAAAGCTCTTTCACATCGATTAACTAATCAAGACTGAGTTTCTAATACATTACATGCATTGAATTGCGGCCAATCTAAATTATTATTTACCCATCCTTATTTCAGTTATTACGAATTGTTATTTTACTTAAAGGGTGTTTTGAATCATCTGCTTCATCTACTTATTTTAATATAGAGGGTTTTCTTATGTTAATGTTTAAAGTTCACAATATTGCAATTGTGATCGCTCCATAGCGACAAGCGTGCGCTCAATCATGATTTGGGACTTGAAATATACTTATATTCATATCCGTCTAACCGATTAGAATTAAATATAGTAGAGTTTAAGATTAAAACAAAATTGGACACAGAACGATAAAAACCAACATTATTTATTCATCGACGTTTTGTAAACGACAAAATTTTTAATCGAAAAACAATCTAAGATAATATTTTAAAATCTTTACTGGTAATAAAATTATGTATGCCTCAATATTTTCAATTATAGGAATATATAAGATAAATACAATATTAGGGACTTAGGAAATAAATTGTTATTCCAAGTACTTTAATGACACTGTAGATCTCTCAACCGAGGCCCATTTGATACGAATATAATCATAAGAAAAGAAATTCCGTTATTTGTGCGCTTAAACATATTTATAACATTGTCTTTGAAAAACTCCCCACTAAAGATGCTATTTTTGTTTAAAAAATGTGTTTGTCATTCAAATTACCAAACACTTTGCTAGAAACTCACAAAGAATGTCAACTTAACTCTGTGGAATTAATAGCCCACAAATTTTCGAGGATCGATAAAACCGTTGACGACCTTCGACATTAACCTTGTTAACCACCAAAGCGAAGATTAACTTTACGTCGAACCCTTTTCGGGTTGTGTACGACGTATTTTTTACTGTCACTGGGTGGTGAGTTTTTCTGCGGGCCCGGAATTATGTACTCGTGACTTTTATAACCGGTACGCGTGCAACTGCCGGCCATATGTGCCCATCCCTCGCAAATGAAAGCTTCATCCCTAAGAGTCTTATAGATGAAGGTTAAAGAATAACTGTAATAACTCGTAGATTTCTAGTTTACATTGCGGGGAATGGTTTATTCATTTATGCAAATACTGAATAAGGGTTATTTCCGTACACGCAGTATGAAAGAGCTGGCTAGCGAAAATTAACAAATCCGCCGTTGCGTCGTGCTCCGCCCAAAAATCCCACAAACCGACATATTCCTTGATATATTAACGACCCGATTGGCAAGTGGACAGTGAACCTATCTCTTGCGTCAAAGGGTCTGGGTATGATCCCAAGTGTTAGAAACATATTGTGTGTTGAGAAATAAGTAAGTAAAAAAAAAAAAATAGAAAATTAAATACGGCAAAATTTATGAAACAGGAGGGTCGAAACAGATTACGACGCGGGATCTTGCGGCGGTCTCTTCGACATTTAAAATTCTCCAACGTTTTTAGCCGCGAATTATTTGGGGATAATTAAAGGCTCCCCGTTGATTGCTCCCCTCATTTCTTCCGCGCTTCAAAAGCCTGCTTTACTAATTAAGCTATACAAATTGTAGGCCTTAGCCGCCCGCCTTGATTGCTTTTGACCGTTGGTTTCGATGAATTATATTAAATCTATCTTATTTCTATTCTCATTGTATTTCATATAAAATACAATGAGAACAAAACTATCTTATGATGATACACAGACCTTCACTTTTTTTGTTATGTTTACATTTGTTAAACATTTATTATTTTATATACTGTGTACTCATATTATTTTCTAAGTTTTATATGTATCTATTGTGATTAGACCGTGAATAAACATTTCTTTTTCTTTTTAGTACAGAAAACTTTTATTACGATAAATTTTAAAAGAATTTCACTTACATAAATTCTTTCAAAACGAAGTCTCAATATTATTTTATATCGCTATTAAATTACATTTAATCTTCATAATTAGAAAACCATAATATATCATAAATCGCGTCGGTTAACACAACAATTATTAAACTGTTATAAAGGGCATTTATTAAATTTTCAGCTTCGTAACAGTACGAGGTCACTGGACCGGTGTCGTGCAATATGCGCCGTGCGAGAATTTCAGCTTGGCGGTTCACCAAAGCCGTTACCTCGCCGCCAACAAGCCAGGGTGATAATAAAATTCCTTATCAACTCCGGTGGGTGGCCGCTAAGCCCGGCCATTTCACCGGTCGTCACTCTCCCCGGACTAGCTGAGGTCCGACGCTATCGAGTTGTTATTCAAGTGGCGTCCCAACTTAACTCATCCGGACGCCGTACGCCGTGCGCTTCTTATTCCGCGCCGTCTCCTCGCTCACATTTCGATGCATCGACTATTGCTGCTTCACGACCAATTTGCGCCAGACTCCGAAATTATTGCGGTGACGAGCCCCATACAATGAGAACCGATACTGGTCGATCAATGATGCTTCCATTTACGTTGGGATGGTTTAATACAAGGTTTGTTTTCTCACGGTTCCTTTCTCCTCGCAGCTCATTTTTAGGGGTCAAAACTTATGTTTGATTTTTTTTAATATTACATCCGATATCCATCCTAGGAAACCTATGGATACCTATCCTAGGAAACATTTTGCTTTAGAGAACAGCTCAATTTTTTTTGTGAGAAAGCGGTAAACGAGCTGGCGGTTCACCTGATGTTAAGTGATAACCGCCGCCCATGG